GTTAGGTCTGAGAGAAAATGCAAGTCACTCTCACTTAAAAATTTCCCGCCAGTTCTATTGAGCTGGCATTCGCACTGGTGGGAGCCCGTCTACTGACACAATGAGCTGTTACTCACAGTAGCTTGTGTAGATCTTCATCTTGTAACTTTTTTTCCCCCCTCCCTTCTCCTTTGGGCAGTGAAATAGTTGAATGTTGACATGTCAGGTCTGAGAGAAAATGCAAGTCACTCTCACTTAAAAATTTCCCGCCAGTTCTATTGAGCTGGCATTCGCACTGGTGGGAGCCCGTCTACTGACACAATGAGCTGTTACTCACAGTAGCTTGTGTAGATCTTCATCTTGTAACTTTTTTTCCCCCCTCCCTTCTCCTTTGGGCAGTGAAATAGTTGAATGTTGACATGTCAGTTCTGACTTTCCAACTTGATGATCTGAACAGGGCAATTAAAACCTTAGAGACTGCTGGGCCCAGACTCCCAGTCCTGTGTTTGGCCGCCAGCCCTGCACCTACCACCAGCTGTGGGCCAGGCTCCTTACCCTGTTCCATGTATCCCTCCCGGAGACCTAGCCCCTGCTCCAGTGGGTGCAGGAGCAGACGGAGGTAAGGGGAACGTGAGGTAAAATGTTTAGAGACCACTGGACTAGAAGGATTTTGAAGAGCTGAGGGTGTGGAGACCAAAAGGCTGCCGAGGAGAGGTGGAATTCTGCTGTATCTTCACAGACTCATCCTTCCCACTTCAGACCCTGCCTTTATATTGCTGACTGCATCCCTGTGAAGCAGAACTTGTGCTAATGCCCTCTCTGTTAAACAGCATTGTCAGTCCCTGTCAGACTACATTGGTTTTTTGTGATGCATTTCAGCAAAGTGACTGTTCCAGTTGTGTGACACCTCAGTGACACACACATAAGTCCAAAGAAACACAACCTCGAGATTTTTTTTTAATTAAAAACTGGTATGTTTTTGTTGCAGAATCCCATCAACTGTTTGCTTTGGGCAAGGCGCCAGCCGAGGATTTAAAAGCTTGAAGAAGAAAGCATGAAAAGTGTGAAAGTCACTGCAGAAGATTCCCAGAGAATGACAAGTAAAGACAAGCAGAAAAGGCCTTGCTCTGTGAGGTTAATAAAAGATACAACTGTTCATTGATTGTTTGCTCGCCCCTCCTGCTTGAGCGCAACAATGGATATATTGAATCTGCTTTCTACAGAGAACAGGGCAGGCTTGGGACTGTCCATTGTACCCATAGATCACCCAATACCAGCAATCTCTGCAGCAAAGGAAGAGAGAAGGAAGGAAGGAGGGACTCTGGTGTTTGTAGGCGTTTGGGTTCCATAAATGCACGGAGGAGGCACACTTAACTAAAGGGCTGTATTTGTGTTTTTCCCTTACCCACTCCAGGGGCTGCCTTACCCCCTCCACTCCTTCTGCCAGGGACAAGGTGGACAATGTGGTACAGGTGGTGCTTTGCCGGTGCTCTATCATCGTCAGAGTAGAGGCAAGCACTCCCCTGCCCAACAGGCTGTGTGGACGTTGACAGAGGCCAGATGGAGGATAACTGGGAGTCCATGGGTTTGATCCATCAGGGAGCCTCTCAGCCCCTGCCATGTTGCAGGACAAGCTGCATTGATTTCTGGAATACTTGTGAGTCCCTAAGAGGAAGGTGCTATCCAGATGTCGGGGGGATTTCAATCTCGTCCTCCGGGTTGTAAGTACCATGGGAGGGGAGGGTTAAAGGATCAAGAGGTGGCATGCCAGAGTTTGCCAGTGGCTCGCAGAGGCAGTTCCCACAAGCACGATTTGCATGTGGTGCCACTGCCAACAACCTCAACATCCTCAATTAACTAACTACCATTGCATCACGGAATACAGTGGGCTGTAGGATGAGTCTCTGCAGATGCTAAGGACTCTCCTCTCCTGATCTTCCTGCAGGAGACCCGCATGGATCTACCCACCGAAGCAACTGATGGCTGGAGTGGGGCTGACGGGTGCACTTCAGCCACCCCAGCTTGCTCTTGAGTAGAGTGGCCACACTGTTCTCCCCAGACCTATGGCCCAAGGTGCTGGAGTTACTACGGTCATGCCAGAGTGCCAGCTGCTCCTGTGGGTCTGCATGGAGGGGCTGATCCTCAGTCTGGTCAATATCTGTGCCCCGATACCAAGCCCATAGTGGATGCAGGGTTATCAGTGGGCATCTGTCACCCTTGGCATTTTGGAGTCTCATAAGTACCTAGTCCAGAGCAGGAATTTTAACAGCATCCTAGATGTGTGTAGGGGAAGTGCCAGGCCATGATGGATGTCCTCAAGAAATTATCACTCCCTGGTGAATGTCTGGAGCAAGCAGCACCTGGACTAGTCTGCCACCTTTTCTGTGTGTGCGTGGAGGATACTCAGTCATCCTGGACTGCATTTACATTTCACGTTTTTTAACTTCTGGTGGGTCCACTTCTTCAGCATCAGTTTGGGCCCCTTCTTGGACCATCATCTGGAATCCATGATGGTTTACTTGTTGCTTGAGCGGCTGGGACTGGCCAACTAGCATTTTAACAGATGGTTTACTTGTTGCTTGAGCAGCTGGGACTGGCCAACTAGCATTTTAACAACAGTTTCCTGGAAGATGTGGATTCTGTGGCATCCTTTTCCCAGGGTTCTGGCTGCCCTAGTGGGGGGGAGAGGCAGGGGGATGTGGGGAAAGTACATGGCTAGTTCTTCTGCCATGACTATCTGGGGCCAGTCAGAGGAGGGGTGTGGCAATTGAGCAGTTGAAGTGGAAGGTTTTGGAGTTGGAGAGGTTCCTGGACACTCACCATGGGGATCCATCCTGCGGCAGGTAGTGCGGGATGAAGAGGGGATCCTGGCTGACCATTGGACTCAGGATGCTTTTGTCTGGTCTTATATCCAGCTTCTTCAGTAGGTAGACTGCGACACCTGTTTCTATGCCATGGCAAAGAAGAGTACCAAAAAGCAGGTCTCCTGCCAACTTCTTCAGTAGGTAGACTGCGGCGCCTGTTTCTATGCCATGGCAAAGAGTACCAAAAAGCAGGTCTCCTGCCACTTGGAGGAAGACTTGCACCCCTTTTACAGATACAGTGGAGAAGCAGAAAAGGGTGGGAACTTACCACTCCAACCTCTTTTCCATGGTCCAGCTAATACCCAGGCTGATGGGGTCCTGTGAGATGTACTTCCTACAGACACAGTGAGTGACCAGGACTGGCTAGAGCTGATTCTTTCTCTGGCTGAGTTCTTGGAAACCCTCCATCTGATGCCCACCAACAAATTTCTGGGTGTCAGTGGACTGAACGTGAAGTTCAGCTGTGCATACTGCAGTGTTCTTGCTCCAGACCTTGCCATTGTGTGGACCAAGTCCCTGTGGAGTGGGGAGTGCCTCATGCCGTACCATGCTTGCCTGCTGTCTAAAAAAATGGGACCTCCATGACATGAAGCATTGTAGCCCAGTATGACTACTTAGCTTACACTGTAAGGTCATAGCTGTGAAGAATTAGGAGGTTTTTGTTGTATTATTTAATGAACCCTCCGTGCCTCAGTTTCCCCTATACCTTCTCTTGCTGCCAAATGGGGGCTAAGGGACAGAGGGATGTGTGTTCCCTAGCTGAGCCTGCTGGATATGCTGTTACAAAGGACAGAACAAGATTGGCCCGTATCAATGGAAAATCCAAGACCCTAGAAAGCCCAGTCACCATGACTTTGACACCCAACCACCAATGAGCCCCCGAGGGAGGAGGATTTCTCTGCCTCTCAGCCAATAAGAATGGACTGGGCTTTAACTTTCATGTCTCTTTGTCAACCTAAGAATTTCTGCTGCTATGTTCTTGGTGACATAAACTTCCCCCTTTTGAAGACACTGTTGGCATGTCACTGTACAACCTGTGAGATGCATTAATCCCTGAAGCGTGTGTAAGTGTCAAATCCAGACTCCCTTTGTCTGGTCTGAGATGTTTCCAGTCACTCTGCCCTGCCGTCCCTTGCCCGGGAGAATACCGTTGCTAGGGTGGGTCCTAGGTATCTCCGTAGGAACTGGGCTTTGGTCTCCCATTCGAGGAGTTTCTCCATGTGCTGTACACCTCTGCAGGAAGCCCCACGGCACCCTGACCAAGCCCATCACCATTGGTCCCAGGAGGCACTAAAGCTGCCCGCTCTGTGGGCCATTGTGTGCTATTGCCGTTGTGTCTCCTGCGAGAGACTGACGGGCATCAAAAAGTATTGGCCACCCATGATGTAATGGGCCTGCCTCTTCTTCCCACTTGGGCCTGTGAACACGAGGCCCAGGACTGTCCTAGCTTGTGATAGAGTCCAGAGCTGCGAGGGGTAACCCAGACGAGCGGCCCTCCTCCATCTCTGCAAGCTTGTCCTAGCCAAGAGGCTCTCCTGGGATTGGATAGCTTTGCTCACCTTTAAACAGAAGCATGGAAAAGGGCGCGCAGCTCCCTGCGCCTCTAGCATGTTGCCAGGGAGCCAGAGACGGGAGCCCTTTCAACTGTTTGTTTAAAGGGCTCGCGCCCCTCTCCCGCTCTGAGGCAACGTGCTAGGGGGTGGGGCCGAGACCTGCCTCGTGGGCTGGATCCGGCCCACTGAGAGGCTTTTGCCCACCCCTGGGTTACACACACCCCCAGCATGGCGTGGCATCTGGCTCCCTCCTGCAACTCCGCTCCCAGGGAGCTGGTTGCCACTCCCGTGCTGCTGACTCCGATAGAGGCAGCAGGGCAGGGCGGCCGTCGGCTCCCCAGGAGCAGGGTAGGAGCCTGCATGTAACCGTTCATGGTAACCACTAAGCCTAGGTTAATCGTTTTTAGGCTTATACTTTTACATCCTTAGTGTGCATCCACTTCACGTGGCCTTGCTTTGGGGGGGGTGTCACCTTAGTTGGAAAAAACTGACATGGACAGAAACCAGAATCTGGCAGCCCTGCACGTGGGCGATGGTGAACAAACTGTCTCGCAGGCTACACATAAAAGCCCTATGAGCTGCATGTGGCCCATGGGTTACAATTCGCCCACCGCTGGTCTAGGCACTAAAAGGCTGTGCAAGGAGATGGGGAGAAGTTCACATGAAAATGTGCATAACCTTTTATGGTTGGGATGGTTTCCTTTTTGAATACAAGCTTAATAAAAGTGCTACCAGGATTTGAAAGGTGGTTCTTCACAAGGGGAGTACCCCAAGGTCCCGTATCGGTGTTTAACGTTGTAACAATGCACAAGGGCTTTAAACAACAGCTCTAGAGTCCCACTCTTATCTATGCAACAGGCTGCACCTATGGACATGCGTGCAGTCTCCTCCTGGCCCCTATAGCAGACACCTCACTTGGGCAGGGATGAATTGGGCCACCTAGCCAACCACACATTTAGCACAGATGTTCCAGTATGGCAGTCTGCCACCTCAGAGACCCGGGTGCTCTTCCTAGCTCTGCTAGGACCTTGTGCTACTTTACTGATCCTATTATCTGTGAAGAAGAGGATACTTGCATCTGTCTTAAAGCAGGTATTGTAGGCCCGACTTGATATCAAGTGTTAACGATTTGAGATCACAGGTTCAGGTCTCCCAGCTTAGCTACTTTTCCGCAGCTAAAGAACAGCTGTAGGGCTGTCAGTGCTACTGCCAACACCACCTTGCTGGGGCTGTTAGTCTAGTCCATTGTTTGGAAACAATGAAGAAGGCTCAGTGGCGTTTGGAAGCAAATTCAGTGCAGTAAGCCTGTTCAACAAATAAGCGTGTGCAAAGAGAAATGGCCGATGGCTTCCAACTCTGAAGAGATTTTTATGGAGACAGTGAAAGGCGTTGCTCTGACTCCATGGCTATGTCTACACTGCCCCTGTTTTGTGCAAAAAATACACCAATGAGGCAAAGCGTGGCATATTGCCACACCTCATTTGCATCATTAATGAGGCTCTGTTCTGAAAAAAATGCAGAAGAATGGCTCTTGTGCAAGAGGGGGGTTTTGCACAAAAACCTCTTGCTCAAAAATGGAGCCTCATTAATTATGCAAACGAGGCACAGTGATATTCCCTCCCCTTGGCTAAGTGGCCTAAAAGCCTGCCCCACGGCCATTCAAACCAGCACTGGAAATGGGTTTAGCATTGGTGAAAATACCTATTTTTTATTGATTTGCATCTAAAAATGTCTCACCTGGTTTGCTGAAGCTTTCACAAGAAAAGTTTGTCCACGTTAGAAGCAGGGAATTAATTCTCCAAGGGAATTACAATGGAAAGGATCAGGCAACTTGAAATAGGTACCTCCCTACCACTGCACAGCATTGTAATGGGAAGACTTCATCAAAGGAGTGAGTCTCATGTTTTGTCCTGAATAAATCTGAAAGCTTACACTCCAATAAGTCAAGGGTTCCTCTTGTTTTGTCCTGAAGACAGTGAGAGCTGGTTGTCTCAGACCTTTCCTTTGCACGGTAGAAAATGTCATTGTTCCTGAGGTTACAGATCTGCTGCTGGAGGTTATGGCTCCAGAGCCTCAAAGGCAACCCATGCAGATGTGCCTCCACAACGCTCCCAGAGAGGCAGCAGTAAAGTGGGGGTAGTTTGGAGACGACCTTCACTCCCTGATGGACATGAACGTGTCTGCAAGAAAAACTTGTTCAGGCAGTGTGTGGGCAGAGCAGGCAGCCAGGCTATGAGAGGGCAGGTATGAGAAGAAGCGGTAGAAGGACTGGGCATTGGATGGCTGTTGCTAGAGTCATTCCCGCAGAGACTTGAACTAACTTCGACGGCTGGAGTCTGGTAGAATAACTGGTGTCGGTGCACCTAGAGTCATTCCCACAGAGACTTGAACTAACTTCGACGGCCGGAGTCTGGTAGAATAACTGGTGTCGGTGCAAAGTGTCTGGCACCCAGCAGGTGGCGATAGTGCCTAATGGAAGAGCATAGGTGGGGCTCAGCACAGCCAGGCAGAGTTTGAAATTTGACAGGTCTCCAAGAAATACCAGTCACTTCCTGTGCCGAGGGCTGACGCTGCCCAGTGCAGACACATTTCAAATCACTAGTCACTTCCAGTTCCGAATGGCTGCTAGGCACCAAGCCTTCCCTGAATGGGAGCAGGGCAAGTGCCTGGGGGCTTAGGGCAGTGAGCTGTAGGATCCGCCTCCTCACAGGGAACAGTGAGGGACCCTCGGCTTTCCAAAGCCCCTGCTAAGGGGAGAGGCAGTGTGAGTGGGCAGCAGGAGAGGAGCATTCCCCTAACAGGGCTGGGGCCTTCTCTGGCTGCACTTGGGGAGCTTAAGAGACCCTTTAAAGCCCTAACCAGTACCTGGGTTTGCCCCACTTCCAGCCAATGGCAAGCAGCACCAGGCTTCCCCCCGGCCTGGCTTGAACCTGGGCATAAGAGCAGTAACTCCGCTACTGTGGTGCAGGGGGACTAGGGCTGCAGAGAGCTCGGGAACAGACTGGAGTCACTGCCTGAGCACAAGTCTTGGAGCCAGACCGTTGGCAGAGAGAGACCTGGAACAGGTCCTGAGGGTGCCCCAATACCTGGAGAAGTGGCCCTGTTCTCCAGCAGCACCCCCACCTCAATCCCATTTGCTCCTCTGAGATGGGGGGGGGGTCACCTCTAACAGTAGCCGGCAGAGGTGGCTAACCTGTGTGGTGTTTTACTGGAACCCCTACTGGCTATCCCCAGCAGCCAGGCCTCGGGGTACAGGCGGACCACACTGGCTCTGCTGAGATGTTTTGTTACCTTTCAGGGAAAGCGACCGTTCTTTACAAAGGACAAAGCTGCGAGCAGCACCACCGCCTTGATTAACTTAGAGGCTTTATTGACTGCTTTGTACAAAACAGGGAGCTTTGGGCTCCAGCCCATTCCGGGCTCTGTACAAAACCCAAAGTATGTACATGGAACTAGCCCGGGGGCTTCCACCTGGGCTGAGACGCACACAGCACAGACACACCTGGAAGGACCGCTGAGAGGCCTATGAACAGATTAGCACCCTCCAATACAGCCCCCTAGGGATCCATACGGATCAGACTGTCTCCTATTTACAGCAAGAGTGCACCTGGCCTAGAGTCACTGCCAGCCCCAGGGAAGGTGGCATGGGCCTGGTAGAGCCCCATTCCTCCGTGAGGTGACTGCGAAGGACCAGCTGCTTGGGAATAATACCCAGAGTCAGGCCCACAGGTCCCCTACCTTGAAGTCAGGCCTCATTCATGGGGTCATTAAGGCATGCTGGGGATGGCGGATTAACCACACCCAGTCTGGTCCTGGAAGAACATGTGCGTTGGGGGGAAGAGGTGAGCGGTCTCTGCTTTGTGCTGTTTTACTCTCACTGCCCTTCAACGCTTTGTGCTTTTCATGCAGCATCCGGAGCAGGGGAAGCGCTTCTCCGTGTTGCACTGTCAAACAGATTCACAGCTGCAGGTGTTCAGGCCAGACGGTACCATCATTCTGAGGGCACCAGGCCAGCACCAGCCAGGGACCTGCTCCCTGCAACACCAGCAGCGAGCCCAGTGACTTGTGGTTGTAAACACTCACGGACACGCTCCCCTGACCTAGCATATGCTTCGGGGAAGGAGATACTCACAGGAAAGGCTATTGAATTAGAGATGGATACCATGGGACCTACCGTGATCAGGTCTCCTCTGTTCACAGGCTGGGAGACAAGATCAAGTTCATACCAGGAGACCCCAGACGCAGTTCAGAGCTAAAGGCTGCCCTGGGCCCGCTGGGCTGGGCAGCAAGTGCACCGCACGAGGTGCGGCCGTGAGGGAGCCCATGGGGGAGGAACTCTTCCTTGCCTCGAATCTGGGAGGCAGCGATCCTTCCGCGTCGCAGCCCAAACGCCGTTCCCCGGGGACTGTCGGCTGCTGGTCCGCGCGGCAGCTGTGAGCTGCTCATCCGTGCTTGCTGGTCAGAAGGGGGCTAGTCCACGACCGGCAGGCCCACATACAGTGCTGCTGGCCCCCTGTGCAGCAGAGCAGGCCAGGGGGCACTGGGGTCCAGGCACTGCACAGGGCCCTGGCGCAGGGGCCATGCTCTTTAGGACAGGTAGTACATGCCGTAGGTGACTGGTGCTGTGAAGAGACCTGGGACGGGCTGCAGGGCTGTGCGGCTGGGGAAAGTGCTGGTGGCTCCGTAGAGGGTGGGGGAGCCAAGGTGGGCCCCCAGCGGGAAGGGCAGGGCAAAAGAGGGCAGCAAGGGCTTGGTGGCCAGTTTGAGCTTCTCCAGCTCTGCTTCCTGCAACCTCTTGGCCTTAGCCCTGCGGTTCTGGAACCAGATCTTGACCTGGGTCTCTGTGAGGTTGAGGGAGCTGGAGAACTCGGCCCGTTCGGCGATGGACAGATACTGCTTCTGCCGGAACTTCCTCTCCAGCGCCAGCAGCTGCGAGGTGGTGAAGGGCGTGCGGGGCTTGCGATTGTTCTTGTGCTTCCTCAGCGTGCAGGGTGGGGGGCTGGACTGCCCTGCAAGAAGACACACACACAGCCCGGCTGCTTAGCGCGGTGTCGGCCTGACCCTGCTGCCAAGCCTCAGCCGTGGTCCTCGGGACCCTCCAGCCCTGTATCCCTCCCTTCCCACCTCGGACACAGACTCCCCCCTGGGCTCCAGCCCTGCTATGCTCATTTTCCCAGCGGGGTTAGCTTTGGTGCTGGGCCTGTCTCTTGGGGCTGTGAAGCCAGCACGGCAGGGAGCCGGCTTTCCCCTCGGTGACTGCAAAACATCAACTCACAAAGTCTCTATTTGGGCCTGGAGACTCCCTCTGGTGTGGGGCCGGGCCTGCTGCACAGGGGCGCCGGTGGGACACTGGCGGTCAGGGAGCAGGGCACCGTGGCACGGAGGCTCCATACGTCAGGCCCAAGGAGCAACTCTTTCTCAGTGCCCAGCTGCGCAGCGTCCAGGGTGCCACTCGGCTCCAAGGGCAGAGCTGCCTCAGGTTAGAGCCATGGGGTTCCCTGTGTGCCCGGCCGAGCTCACAGGCACGCAGCGGTGTGAGCCGTGGCCTGGTGCGACCCAGGGAGCAGCGCTGGAGGCCTGCGTGCGTTAGCAACGTACCACACTATCTGCGGGGAGAGTAGCGGGCCTTTGGCTCAGAGGCAAGTGGCTGGCGAGGGCTGCTGGGAGCACGGAGGGCTGGCCAGGCCAGTGGCCGGCCGCACTTGACCGAGAGGCTGTCCGTCCCAGCAGGAGCCGGGGGCGGGATGCGCTGCTTACACGGGGCTCGCAGGCAGAGAGCGTGGGACGCTGCGTCGGCTCGAGGGTGAGGCTGGAGCGTCTCGGCACTAGCGAGGGGCTGGGGTGAGTTGGGGCCCCCTGAACGACTGCTGTCCCCC